GGGGGGGGGGGGGGGGGGGGGAACGCTGGGGAAAGAAGTAGCCAGAGGAGAGAGGGTCCCTGGAACAAGGTGCCTGTGTCCTAATAGGTTGAGATTCAAACTGATGCAGCACATTTTTACGGGGGCTACCCAGATTGCTGTTATGAAATACAAGTCAGATTTATGATCTTTTTCATATTGAACATGATATGCTATGCTAACGCTGCATGTGACAGTTTAATCAAATCCATTTGTTACCAGGAAGCTGAAAGGGGCCGCTGGGATTTTAGGATTACGGGCAGAGTTAGGGAAGCATGTGGCTTTGTCATTCGCCATCATTTTGCACACTGCCACACTGCTAGGGGCTCCGTGTGTGCGCCGTGTCTTGTCTGGCCGCCCTCATCCCTTCCCCCACCCCCTGCCGCCACTCCGACCCGCTCCCAAAGTGGCTTCACAATAGTCGGTCCTCGGCGGTGTAGGCTGCGCACCAGGTCCACACGTGAGTCAAATCAAGGAGACCCCCTTCTACTTCTACCTTTGGGCTTGGTGCTCAATGCGAAGCTGCTGCGACTCAGGCACGCCTAAGTCAACTCATGCAGAAAAAGGAGAAAAGTTTTGGTAAGGTTACAATCTATCACAGATGTACTTTGCCGGCGCTCTGCACTCTTGGCTTGCTCAATAGCCTTTCTGCTCTTCCGCTGCTTTTGTGTCTTTCTAAAAGATCCGAAATATTATTGTTGTAACTGCTTTGAAAGACTGCTGCTTAAACCAATTAATCTTGCTAGGTGCAACAAATACTGCTACATTCTTTGCAAACCATCCTTGTGTGGCTGCAAAGACACAACCACAAAAGGCTGGAGCATAAACTCCGCAAGGGATTCTTTGTTAGAGTGTATGTATGTTTCTTATTTTTTTTTTTTTTTATTTTGCATGTGAGCTGCATCAAAATTGAACTCAGTCTTGCAAATCTCTTGTTGGCCTTTGCCAAGCACTAGCACTTTGCTGCCATGGTAACTGTAATTAAACTGATAAGAGTGGAAAAATGTCAGTATCTCTGAGCCTTGCAGCTGCATTGGAGAAAAAGGGAATCAAATTGGTTCCCAGCTCCATTGCTCAAAAAGGGGAGGGGGGGTGGAAGGGTAGGGAGGGGGGTTGGGAGTTGAAGGGGCAGAACAGAGTTAAGCAGCTCCAGTGCCTGAGATCTGGGGACATCTATTTGCATTGTTGTCCCTTAGGGGGCTGCAGCCTGTAGGGATGCTTTGGGCCAGTGAACAGAGAGAAACAAGCTTTTAGGCCCAATCCAGTTTTCCAATCCGGGTTGGGGGCTGGGGAGAGGATGAAGATGGGCAGGAGGAGAGAAAATCTTTTGTTTGGTACCTCTTGGCAATCGAATGACTGTGTTGGCCAAATTCTTTTAATCTGTGTCACTGCTCCCAGCTGCAGAACCTGCATTCCCATTTTAGCATCTTTCTGAGGCACCTCATCTCTTCCAAACCCCTTTATGTATTCCCTCTTCCTGTTCCCTCTCCCAAATTGTTCTCTGTGAATTTTCCGACAGGGACAAAATGTTTTCCATTCATTCTATGTAGCTAGTCCAAAAATATAAAAGACTGTGTCTAAGTGCTGCAAATCTTTTATTATTATTATTATTTTTAAAACCCCTGTGTGTTGTGGAGTTGTGGTTACTTTGTTGTGTTAACTACTGAAGCTGAGACTGTGCGGATGAATGGCACAGAACAAGGGAACATAATGGAGGCAATCAACCGTTAGGCCGCCTCACAATGCAATCCAGGCAATTAAAAGCTCACCAGAGTTTAAATGAAATGGTTCTACTTATTTCTGCACACCACACTGCACAGGCTATTATTTATGTCTTTTTTTTAATTATGATTTCCCTTAAACTGTCAAATAACTCAGAATGGCAGGGTCTCAGAGGCAATAAGAATTTCCCTCAGAACAATTTACATGCCAATCTAAAACTAGTTATGAGTTCTGATGTGCTATGAGCAACTTGTGAAATGTTTCTCAGCTACGAACACATAACTCTACCCAGACGTGTTCTTCTGGAGGAAGAGAGGAAGCCGCTGACTGTTTTACACCTTTTAGGTACATGGCAACTTGGTGACTACAAAATAGTTCTTTTTCTACAATTGATAACTTGCATAAAATTGAAAGATTTCATTTTCAAGAGAAATGTCATGATGTTCTTTAAAAGAAGGTACTGAAATGGAGTGTAAAATATCAAACTCCTTTTATGCCCAAGGCCAAACAGAGAATGTAAGAGTTTCAAATATTAATTGGCCTCTGAGTGCTAAATTAAAATGTCAACACAACAAAAACATTTTGTGAAGACAAGCAGGGTAGTGTTACTTGTGCCAAATCTTGGTATCCCCTGTATTGGTTGTGAAGCGTTTTGAATAAAGATAGCTAACCTATGCTTGGTGGTAGAAATACCAGTCTGGGAAGCATAGTTTTGCTTCTACCAAGGAGATTTTTTTTTAACCTTAATCTTTGAGCTTTGTGACTTAAAAAATAATAGTTTGGATAATTAGAATAGTTACTCTTAATATATCTCTGGATGTTTTCAATAACAAAATCCAGAATTTCATTTAGTAAATCAAAATCTCCCCCTCCCCCTAGGTATCTGGTTAGAGGCACTTGGGTTGGTACTGCACTGTAATTAATGGGATTCATTCCTTGTGGAACCTTGCTGGAAGAGGGTAACTAGTTCTGATCAAAGAAACTTCATTTGTTAGAAGTTCTAGAGAGTGAGATTTAGCAGCACTATCAAGGGTTATGATTAATCTACACTAGGCCCTTAGCTCCTTCAAAGGAAAGGAACAGAAAGCAGGCTATAGGGATACCACCTGCCCTTCTGCAGAAATCCAACTGTTAGCCTGTAGCTCCAGTGACTACGGCTATGCATGTAATGGGGAAAGAACAGCTAGCCTGCTTCCTTCCTGCCATTACCTCCTCCACTACAGGTTATTTTTGAATGAAAGTTGAACATCATAACAATATTATTTTCAATTTCATGTATTATTTGTAGCTAGAAAAGTTATTCAGCTGTGGGGATGCCTTATGTCTCTTATCAGTGTATTTTTGTAAAAAAGGGTTATGAAGGTTATGATAGGGTGAAGATATCAGAGGTATCAGAGGAAACTGAAAAAGGTTTAGTTATTTTGGAGACGGGAAATGCACAAGAAGTGCACAAGATTATAGCTTGGCATTTCTTTTCTTGAAACTCTTTCAAATGCATGCACATTTGGTGTTTTGTATCCTTCAGCATCCAAGTTTAAAACTTTATGCCTAGGAGATGAAGCATTGCATAGCAGAGGGATCTCTGCACTGTAAGAAGGCCACTTGGCCTTGGTCTATAGCTTAGCAGTCTTTCAGCTTTAAGCGAGTCCCTTAATGTCTCTTGGGCCCCTGTAAAATAATTTGTAAAGTGAGGGAATTTGGAATTGATGATGTCTGCAGTACTTTATAGTGCTTAAAATGAGTTATTTAGTAAAATATGAATAGATGATCTAACTTTTTTAAAGGCTGGTTGTTTCATACCTAGGAAATAAGAAGAAACTCAAAGGTGAATATCCAGTCTTTGAAAAGATTTCATTCAAGTTGTAAAACCCAGCTAGATTCCTGATTTTTGATGCAGATATATCTTTAAAATATATGAATATCCCTATGACTAGAGTAGTATGTATGCAATATACTTATACACATATTTGTATAATTTTATATGTATTTCAATGTTGCTTTTCTCCAATAAAATAAGTAAATATTTTATTGAAAAATGGACTTTAGTTTTATGTAAAAGAATGTAATATATAGTTAAGTAACTGCCATTAATATAGGCACTGACTGATGCTTGTGAGTATAAATACATTATTTTGTTTTAACATAATAAATAAACTTTGAAATATCAAGGACCCAGAAGGAAGTATTTGGATGTAACCAAGCAATATAGGATTGGTGAGCTTTTCGGGTGACTTTGCTGTGTATTTAACTAAAACATCTCTACCGCTGAGTAAGGTTAGTGTAATCCCATATCAAGTATACTCTTTTTCCACCATCAGGTACATATTCAGTAAAATTTTTAAGGAGTTAAACAAAACTCATTTTTGACTTCTATAGACTGCATGGATTAGTTTGTTAAATCGCTTTCTTTTCAAATTGTTAGCCATTTACTCACATTTTCTTCCTAAAGGAACTGCTCCATGAGAAGAATGGGAGCACTATGAAATGATTTAATGTTATTGAACTTCATATGTTTGCAAAATGTCAACTAATCATCTTCAACATGAATTTATTATTACTCCTTTGTAGGTGTGACTTTATAAATGATTGGATAAGAATTGCATAAAGTCTGAGACTTTTGGTTTCCAAAATTTAGTTTGATTTCAGTACAACCCTACAAAAGAAAATCTAACACTCCTAGAAAAAAGGCAGTATTATATATTTAACTTGTTTGAGGTCTTCGGACATCTTTTTATTCTGTCTGGTAGTTTCAGCTCTTTTTTTGTTTGTTTTTGTCTTTCTTTAGGTATACAAATGCTCTCAGTCCAGCCAGACACCAAGCCGAAAGGTTGTGCTGGCTGCAACCGAAAGATCAAGGACCGGTATCTTCTAAAGGCACTGGACAAATATTGGCATGAAGACTGCCTGAAGTGTGCCTGCTGTGACTGTCGCTTGGGAGAGGTGGGCTCCACCCTGTACACTAAAGCTAATCTTATCCTTTGTCGCAGAGACTATCTGAGGTAGGAATTATCCTTGCACACCAGTGATGACTGGATGCCTTTTAAAGTACTTTTGTAAGTGTATTTTTTCGTTTGCTTGTTTTATTTCCTTACTACCAGCTTATATTCCTGAAAAAAGGTTGACCTCTTGGCCTTCAAAATGTTGTCCAGTGTGTGCTATGCAAATTACTGCTTAAGGAATAGCCAGCAAACCACACTATCCAAAGTGTTTCCATTTAGCTTGCCTGCACACTCATATTTAGGATTCGCTTATTCCACTTCCTACTTTGAAACTGCCAGTTAGTGTCACAGATGTATTTCGTAGAAATCAGCATACAAGTTTTTTATTAGCGCCTAGGAAGAAAGGTAGGCTGAGTATAACACAAAGAAATGAATCAATTTTTTGGCAAAATGGTTTAACTCTGCATTTTTACCTGAAAAATACACTATGCAAGATAATGTATTGCCTCTTAGTTGGACCTGAATTTTTTTCTTCTAAAGTTATTCAGCTATCCTTTCTGTTTCAGGTTTATCAGAGGAAGTCAGGTGCAAATCCTTAGCTGATATTTATTAGCAGTATTTATCACACAGTTCTGAAATCTTTCTCTAAGTAAAGATACATCGCCCCTACCCCCATGAAATTCTAAATAGTCATTGCAAAAATACAACTGAGCATTGAACAGTCTCGGACTTGCCAGCAGTTTTGTGGATAATAAAAAAGTAAAGACTTCCATCATTATGAGAAAATGAGAGCCACTTTCTAAACTGTAAATATCAGAACAGTTTCAGGACAAGGCAGGTGTTTTGGGTTATGAAACCATGAAGCCAACCAAGTTTGTTTCCCAGCACTAAGTGCTCAACATAGAACTTCCATTGAAGAAAAATTATTTTGCTTTTCGGGCAACTTTGTGACTTATGTCAGCTGCAAATTACTTATATTAATAAAGTAGGATCTATCAAATTAGAGAAATGATATATGGCATCATTGGGGTTTTCATATTTAATACAATTAATCATTTTTCTAGTCTGACATTATGCGATTTATTTTGAATTTTTTCCCTTGAGACACAAAATTTATCAATCAGAGTAACTCCTTAACCATCTTGGTCATTTTGGGAAGTGTTGTCTAGGGAATTTGGTCCTCCATAGTATATAATTCCGTTATTTTCAGTCCTATGCAGTTGTTCTGTATAAAAATGTATCGTTTGATTAATGGTAGTTACAAGAGGGTGAAACCAGTACTGTTTTATTAGAGTCCACTCTCTCCCACTCTTAGAACTGCCTGTCTGACAGCCTCCTGACTAATTGTGACCACTTGTTACTACTTCTCTGTTCTGAGTGCACAAAATGCATACAAGGTGCTAACAGTGAGAAGTAACTCCAGCCAGGGTTCTCTCATTGTGTTGGCACAACTAATCAGAATTAATGGATAATGTGAATTCTTTTAGAACCCTCCAGCCTTTGAACTTTTCTCTTTGAAATAAAAATTTCTCTTCTGCTCATTGTGAATTAGAGCCTCATTTCCACATAAAGCATTTGTATTTGCTTTTAGTGATTTAACATTGCTTTCTAGTTTCGCTTTATCTGTGCTAACAAATAGTCACAGCTCTTTTACTTCTTTTTGACTTTTACATTTGTTTATAATTTCGGTATCTCAAGTGGATTTATGTTACAATTCCAAATAAGGAGTTTACATAGCCTGGGCAACATTAATATGACTTAATAAACAAGAGGACAAAAATTAAGTAAACTCGAAAGAGAATAGCTTGAAATCTGAATCTTGAACAATCAAAAATAGAAATTTGCCAACGAAATGCCTGTTTTATGATTGAAACTGCTGCACAGTTGTCAATATGGTATAAAGCACAGCAAGTAGCCTAAGATTTGTTTTGTTTTATTTTTCTTACGGTAGTAAAAAATATGATGTTAAACTGGTATTTGATAGTCTCAAGTGTTTTGTTGAAGAGAATTCACCAAAATAGTGTTTGTATCAGAAATCTTTATATCTCTTTTTGTGGAATATCTTTTGGTTAATTTCTGATAGGTTCAAACTTTTAATGCTAGTTAACTTATTAAAAGTATATCGAACTCTCAAATATAAACTCTGATCCTGATTGCTAATATATTCATTTCTCAGAGCACAATTTCCTCTTAAATTGGTCATTACCACATTAATGGCCAGTTGTTATGTTAACAGCCTCAGGGTTGTTAACATTTCAAACTAAGTTGTTAACAGCAGGCTTATCCCTTACTTAAACTGAAGGTTTGTTGTATAAAACGTGACTTCTTTGGCGACTTCATCAACACTTAAAATTGCAAAAGTGAAATGGAGAATTTGTGTGTGTAAGACATTGTGTTACGTGTTGTAGATTATGCTACAGCTGTGGTGTTTAATTTTATGTTGAAAGCATTTTATGTTTCAACGAACTTGTATAGATGTTCAACAACATATGTGTTTGGCAAATTAAAATAGTCTGATTCTGTACGTTAAATCAACAAATACAGTCAAACAGATTTTATATATACCTTAATTTATTTGATTATGTATAAATAGTCAAAAATGTTTATTAAATGCTTGCTGTGTGAAGGGTATAATTTTAAGCAATGGAAGAAATTAAGAGAAAAAGAGAGTTAGCCCTAAAATTGTTATCTAATTGTTTACTTAATTGCATAAAATCTGCATTGTTCTATGATCAATGAACAAATGGCTATTTTCGTAAGCTTTGAAGATAATTGTTATTTTTCTCCTAGTTCAGCGTATTTCCTTTTTGTATTTTATATAGTCAATGTTTAACCATTTTAATTCTTTTAAAAAGTTTTTATTTTCTTTTGTTTTTGGCCTTTGGTTATTATATAATTTCTCTGAGGCACCAAATAGAATATAAATAATTTACAGATTTATATTTCCCTATCTAGGTAAGAATATGGAAAATAATAAAGAAAAAAGTAATTTACCTGTACTAGTAAATTATTGGTTATAGGTCTTATCCTGGACCAAATACATTTTTACATCTAGAGGAAATTAACATTTTTTTTTTTGTCAAGTGTATTAAATTCCTAATAAATTTCTTCCTCCAAAAAAAAAAGAAGAAAAACTTCTAATTATTAGCAGTGAGTCCTGAAGTTCTATGCTATTTGTTTGTTTGTTTTGCCTCACTTTGAGTAGTGATAAGGATATGTTTTTAAAGTTTTATGATGATAATCTGAGATATTATATAATATGAAAATGCAGGAATTTAGATTGTAAGATATTTTCTTAAGGGTTATAGAAACTATTATTGTAGAAAATTTTCTTTCATTTTTTTCTTTCTTTATGTCACAATTAGTTATATTTAAGAAAAAGAAAAGAAACATATTTGATAGTGTGTGCACTGAATTTTGGATCTTATCTGTGTAATAGTTCCCTTTCTATAACTGAAATGGTATAATATCTTTTATGTTGGTGTAGAATATAAAATGCACATATATGATGAGACAGAATTTACCTATTTGTAGGATTGGTTTTTTTTTTCTCCTTTGAATACTCATTAGATAAAGAAAGAGGATTGACTCATTAAAACTTCCTCTAACACACTTTCTGACTAAAACTATGAATTTTGTCTGCCAGTCAATATTTGTATTCCAAGACCCAGAAATGTATCTGTTAAAAATCTATCCAATGGATTTATATTTGTTTATTTTTTAATGGTAAACATGACAAATTAGACATAGAAGCATGTTTGTACTTCAAATTAGAGCTTAAAATTGATACTAATGTAGATTAAATATTGTGTGAAAATAGTAGTTTTAGTAATGATGTTTAAGGGACTCTTGTTACTGCCATTGCACAGCCTTATTTCACTTTGGAAAATATTAATAAAGTGCAATGTATAACCGTATTTTTAGAATTAATACTTTGTGGCAAGCATTAGATGGTCAGGACTAGGGGTATAGCAAAATACTTTACTTTTCAATCTAAGGCAATAAAGAATATCAGAACTTAGCACTCAAACTTTTAGCCAATTTTTACTTGTTTTTTTTCTATAAGCTTGCAACTTCTTGTGGTATAAGCATTAAGCCGATATAGGCGGTATCTTGTATCTATATGAATGCTATCCTGCCAGAGAGTTTATTCAAAGCTGTTTGCTGTGGTATGTGCCATGGTAGCTGCTTATAGCTGTTCCTGTATGAGAAGCTGTAAAATGTCTTATATAAAATTTAATGCAATTTGCTATTTTTATATGTGAGGATGATTTGTTTAAAATGGAACTACTGAGAAAGAGTGATGCTTCATGCTTCACCATAGTTGCCAATTAACTAAAATGATTTGAAGCTTGCTATGCTGACTACAAATTTTATATGCTTTAATATAATAATATAATAACCCTAAAAGGGAAAATTAAAATGCTACATAGAGCATAAATCGAGCTATAACTTTAGTTCATGCTGATCAAACCTGGTGCTTCTAAATTTTTATATTAGCTTAAATTTATATTAGTCCATAATGATAACTTTAAAGGTAAATATCAATATGTTGTTAATATTGTCTTATCTGGCAATTCACAGCACAGAATCATTTTTAATGTTGAGTATCCATTCCTTTTTCCTCCTTTGTCATCTTGTTAATATTAGGCATTTGGAAATATTTTCTTGAAAAGCAGTGCGTTATTATTATTTGAAAAATTACTTTTAATTGTTTTAAGTTCCAAAAGCTTAAGCTTTTATATGGAATGAAACTCCTTACAAATAACTTTTTCTCTGAGCTTCATTTGAGCTTTTAAAATACTTTATTATAGTCATAATTTTTATTATACCAAAATGTCTAAATTAATTTTAGTATTATGAAATACTTTGACACGTGAGCATATTGAACTCCATGATCTATTAAAAGATACTCTGTTATATTCCTTGTAAATTATTTTACCTTGTTTATGACTTTATGAAAAGTTGCAATTTTACATCCATTTTTCCTTTTACCCTAGGAAAGCATTATTGAATTTGATTTCAAACATTTTAAGCTGTATACGACTCATGAACCAGTA